AGTCTTTTAGCCTGTCTTGGTATGACAGTCTTTTGGCCTTCAATCATTCGGGTGGCTAGTCTTTGAACTTTCTCCAAACAGGCTGCATCCTTTTTGAGGATGAGTGCCCAAGCCTGCACGCAGTACTCCAAGTGCGGCCTATCTATGGCTTTGTACAGGGGTAGGAATACGTCGGGTTTGCTACACGATAGTACCGACTTGAGCCTGAACAGCTCTCTCCTCGCCCTCGCTGCAGCCAGTAAGCACTGGTTCTCCCAGCGAAAATCTGCGCCACCGATATTCCTAAGTCTCTGCTGGTTTTACCAATCCCTGCAGTGAAATCCCCTCCACCCAATCGGATTGACAACTGTTCATCAGCGCGGGAAAGCAAATTGCTTTTCTCTGCATTCAGTGGGAGGTCCCATACTGTTGCCCATTCCGTTGCTATACGCAAGTCATCCTGCAATTGTTGCCGACTGGCTGATCCCACGATCTTGACATCATCTTCAAAGATGAAGCATGGCAAACGTAGGATGGCAGCCAAGTCGTCTATACAAATAAGGAACAGTAGGGGACCAACCACTGAGCCCTGTGATACTCCACTTGTGGGTATGGCTTTGGCCGATACTTTGCCTTCAATCCTCACGTAAAATGTACGACCGGTCAGGAATTCCCTGATCCAGTTATGTATCTGCTCCCCTTATCCCCTTGTGTTGGAGCTTAGCTGACAAAAACCTATGATTAATGGAATCAAAAGCTTTGCAGAATTCTAAATAACAGACTTTCACAGCGTTGTCTTCATCTACCCTCGAGGTTACCTCATCTAAAGAACACAGTAAATTAGATAGGCATGATCTACCCTTGGTAAACCCGTGCTGTTGGTCAGTAAGGTGTGAGGTCGAACTACTTCAGCAATAGAATAGTAAATAGGTGGAATAGACTACCTGAGGAACTAGTCAACTTGCTTAGTATCCACGCCTTCAAATTGGCTTTGGATAGGAGATGGTTAGAACTGTTTCCGAACGAGGAATACTGAACAGAATGCGACCATTAGGTTCATAACTTTTTTCTGTATGCCATATGGAACGCATTCACATTAAAAGTCTCTCGCCGNCGTTTGAAGAGGTGGATGCACACTCGTGAGCACACCACCGAACGAATTCTGGACGCTTGATTGGCCTGTGACCACTACCAGTCCTGTGCAGCCTGACCTGACCTAAGCAGGGAGTTATGGAGTAAATGCTGAACAATGTGCATCCTCGCTATCCGTTCTAGGCACTTGCACAATATACTCATTAGGCTCACTGGCCTGTATTTCTTAATATAGGGTTTTAATCCCCCCTTGTGAATGGCAACAACAGCAGCTGTTTTCCAATCCCTCGATAGCTTGCTCTGGTCTAAACTGGCTTGGTACAAATCCCTTAGCGGTCCCGCTAATATACCCGCGATTGGCTTGAAGATTTCCGGGTGAATTCCATCGGGCCCTGGAGATTTGCTCACGTTCAGCTCCGCTAATATCCGATGAACCACTTCTAATGACACATACATATTCTCCATTTCCTCTGATGAGGGGGCGAGATCCGGTAGTGCCAGATCGTCGCGATCTACTCGATGCACACTACTGGAGTATGTGCAGAAGGCGTCTACTTTTTCCTGGTCATTGGTAACGGTCCTACCTTCCAATTGTAGAGGTCCCAGTGTCCTCTTATTGGGACCCCTGGCTTGAGCGTAGCTGTAGTAGTGTTTCGACTCCCTTTTGGCTCGGCTGGCTAGCTTCAATTCAAAGTCCCTTTTACTGTTTCTAATGAGTGAAACTGCTTTGTTACGACGTCTCGTGTACTGCCTCCAAGCCATCTGGGAACCGGAAGCTCTGAAAGCTTTCCAGCTTCTATTTCTAAGTTTAATTGCTCTACCTTAAGCGGCGTGCCACCATGGCGGCTTCCTCCTTGAACCTTTGTAGGTTAAGGGAGCAAGTTCAGTTCAGTTTGCACAGGACGAATATGGATCTTGCCAATCGAGCGTCCAGTCCGTTAAGTTGTCGGCGAATGGGAGTAGCTTCCAACACCGTACAGTTGATTGGGTATTTGTGATCCTCTCACTTCAACCCCGTATCCAGAACGCTGTCTCCTTGGGGGTATGCTGAACGGGAGGAAAACAAGCAAGGATATCTCCTCGACTCATTCGTTAGAGACCTCAAGTACACATGCGTTAGTATTCACAGCTCACCTGTGACAGGATAGTCAGTTTTTAGAATAATTTCACCACTCAAGGCTAGGTTTATATAATTTCACAACTTCTGGCTAAAGTAGAATTCACTCTTTATGTTCCCACTCTAAATATTACCTTCCGGGAACGTTGCTGACCAACATGCGTCCAGGGCTACTTTGAACGTGTTAACATTGGTGCAGTTGACCACTTCTGCAGGTAACCTGTTCCACATAGGTATGACCCCGTTTGCGAAGAGGTTGACCAGTACTTCTAGCCTGGCGTGGTTCTGTTGGAGTTTATAGCTATGACCTCTCGTGGTTTGGGCACGAGAAATCGTAAACAAGTCAGGTCCGGTCAGGTCAGGTCAGGTTGCACAGGACTGATAGTGGCTACAGGCCAATCACGCGTCCAGAATTCCTTCGGTGGTGTGCCCTCGAGTGTGCGTCCACCTCTGCGATTGATCGGTTTCTCCTTCTACCTTCAAAAAGAGAGAAAGAGAGAATTTACTTCTCGCCGTGTCGGCGAGAGACTTGTATTGTTGAAGCGTTCCATATTACGCAAAAAGAATTTACGCACCTAACATTCCAGGTCAGGGAAAAGCTTCAACTATCTGGCGTCCAGAGCTTTTTTAAAGGCCTGGAAACTTGACTGCATAATCAGTTCCGGCGGTAGCTTATTCTAAATATCCACTACCCTATTGACAAAGAAATTTGCTCGTAAGTTCAGTCTAGAACGCTGTTTCATGAGTTTGAGCTCATGTCCAGGTGTTCCTTGGTGGGTAGCTTCAGTGAAGAAAGACCCAGAATCTAGACCGAGCAAATGTTTCTTAATCTTGAACAATTCGATGAGGTCTCCGCGCAACCTCCTTTTTTCTAGTGAAAAAAGACCGAGCGCGTACAACCTCTC